TCTTAACAGAAAGGATAGCTGCTACTCAGAAAAACATTACCTCAAAGACAAATAATGTAACTAGACAGTTGAGGATTACATCTCCAAAGAAATGAATAAATTGACAGCATATATGATCTATAGTAGGTGAACCAAGAATTTAAAACAAACATGATCAATATAAGTAAAACTATAAGGAAACACATTAGTAATATGAAATAAGATATAAATATCAAAAACAGAACCAGATGGAAATATTAGATATAAAAAATACGTTTGAAATAAAGAATGCAACAAATATAAATAGAATGGATATGAATTAAGTAGTTGGAAGATTAGAATGAATACTCTTCCAGGAAGAAGCAGGAAAGGGAAAAAGAAGCAGATGGAAAATATAAAAGAAAAACCAAAGGGTATGGAGAAGAGTTGTACAAGTACCAACATCTTAACAGCAGTTCCAGAAAGACAGAAAAATCAAAATTTAAGAAATTTTGAAATAATTGAAGACATACTGGAGATACATTTCCCAGAATTTAGGAAAGAGGAAAGTCCTCAGATGGTGAAAAGGACATTTTTCCTTCTCTTTCATATGCAATAAAAATTATATTTGTACGGGTCTGTAAATATAAGGATAATAGAAATTTTGTCCTTGAGAAATTTTGCTTTTGAGTATTCTTAAAGTAAAACATTTGGATATCTCCAAAAAAATTCAGTGAAACATTTTTACTCTTATTTTTCATAAGTTTCTGCTCTAAGCTTTGTTTCTTATGTCAGTCCAGGGATTTTTTTGTGCTTATGACATAACATCAACTCTTCTTGTACTGACTGATGCATTCATGTACACATAATGATTCTTTATTGATAGTTCCTTACTACCTTCTTCCAGTTCACTCCATTATAATCCTAACTGCCTCCTAAGTGATATCAGTTATATCTCAAGGGTCTCTCACTCTGCCTACCCACGCTGCACATTAACTCCAGTTTAATATTACTGCAAGTGTTCATCCTGTCACTGCCATCACCCTCCTGAGTTTTATCTTAACAACAGAAATTTCAACTTTGAAGAGAACCCAGTACATTGCCTAGCCCTCCTTTCAATTTTACAATGAGAAAATTGAGTTCCAAAAAAGGCTTCTTGCTTGAAATCACAGTTAATTGGGAAAGTCTAGATTAAAACAAGATTTTCTACTTTTATCCGCTATCATTTCCAGTACTTGTTGGTGTTTAAGTTCCTACTCTAGCCTTCAAAAACCTAATTGAATATACAGATCTGATTTCTATATTATAAGCAAACTAACTTCAAACACATGTTTTTAAGTTAGAAATTACATATCTTATAGATAAGGACACTATTACAAAAATATTTTGAGTGCTTTGGTGCTAATCCTGCTAAAAAGAGAACATTCTCTCAAGACAGTCATTTCTTGCACACCCAATATAATTCTATTAACGTTTGTAAAGATTAAAGATTTATTGATATGAAATAACGTGAGAATGTGAAGCCAATATTGAACCCAGTGGTTTAATATCTTCATTTGGCTGTAATTTTTTATTTTTTGCTTTAGAAGATCAATGTCTTGGTTTAGACACTTAGCATATTAATTGGCTCTGCCTTATGATGAGTTATTATGTCCCTCTAACTCGGGCTAGCACAAAATCAATACTAGAGCACAAATGACAAAAGAAAAATAAATTGAATCTCATCAAAATGAGAAATCTTTGTGCTTTAAAGGATACCATTAAGAAAGTGTAAAGACAACCCATAGAATGGGAGAACATTTTTGCTAATAATATATCTGATAAGGGACTTTTACCTCGAATATAGAAAGAACCCTTAAAGTTCAGTAATACAGAAACAGATAGCCCAGTTTAAAAATGGGCAGAAGATTTGAATAGACATCCCTCCAAACAAGATACACAAATGGCTGATAAGCACATAAAAATGTGTTTAACATTAGTTATTCAGGAAATGCATATCAAAACCACAAGAAGGCATCACTTCACATTCACTAAGGTGGCTATAATAAAAAAGATGGACAATAGCAAATGTCGATGAGGGTGTGGAGAAATTACCGTAGAACCTTAAATTGTTGGACATGTCAAATGATGGGCACATGTAAAGGGGGGGATGGGAGGGAGTGACTGCTAATGGGTATGGGGGTTTTTTTGGAGTCATGAAAACATTTTAAAATTAGATTTTGATGGTGGTTTCTCAGTGGATATATAAAAAAAAAACCAAGCTGTACGCTTTAAATGGGTGAATTGTATGGTGTGTGAATGATACCTCTGTAAAGTTGTTTAAAAAGCCAGTAATAGATTTGAATATATACCTGGGAGACAGAATCAACATTATGCAGTGTAAAAGGATATAAAAGATTTTTTTAAAAAAAGGGAAAGTGTATAGTTTCTAGTATGCTGTGTAATCAAAGTAGTTTTTTATAATACTTTATAGCACAGGTTTTGTAAACAGGGCAGTCAACTCCGTGAATATTGTAAACCCATCCACTGCTTCTCTTTTTTTTGGTTTTTTGTTGGTTTTTTTTTGTAGCTGAGCTATCCTGCCACCTGTTGGCAGCTCAGCTCGGGCCGCAAATCGAATCGGTGACCCTGTTGCTCAGAGCTCGCACTCTTGACTGAGCTCTTAACCAACTGAGCCACTCGGCCGGCCCACTGCTTTTCTTCTTGACAAGCAACCCTTTGTCGTTTTTCTCTTCCCCTAAGATGCTTAGGCAAAATGTGACAATATGGAAAAGGAAGCATATAAAATTTGGTTTTATAGCCATCCATATTCTTTCATGTCTCCCCCAGCCCAATAGTCCTTTAATCCCCTCTCTGGTGACTCTATAGAGTTCAAAATTTTATAGAATTCAAAATTTCTTTCTCCACTGACTTCCATTCCACTTAAAAATTTCCATTTCCTCAGTGGATCCTTATTTAAGGTAAGCAGTTTGTTGCATTAGTTTATAATGAGTCCTACATCTCTGATAGTTCATTTTAAAAGATTATAGAACAGGGCTTAGCAGGCTTTTTCTGTGAAGAACCAGGCAGAAGTATTTTCAGTTTTGCAGCTCGTAAGTTTGCTGTTGGAAGTATTCAACCTTGCTACTGTTGGGTGGAAACAGCCACTGACAAAATGTAAATGAATGGATGAGGCCTCATTTGACACTAGGCAGGCCTGATCAAGCCATAGTTTGCCAGCCCATGTTATAGAATTCTTAATTCAAAGGCTCAGTATTTTACATCCCATGACTGTTTCATAACTGCCAGTTTGTATTTCTTAATCATTTCCCCTTTCTCACCCAGCTCCCAACGCCCCTCCCCTCTGGCAACCATCAGTTTGTTCTCTGTATCTGTGAGTCTTTTTCTGTTTTGTTTGTTTATTTTGTTCTTTAGATTCCACATATAAGTGAGATCATAGAGAATATATAGTCAGTAATGTTTCAACAACTATGTATCGTGCCAGGTCGGTACTAGGCTAATCAGGAGAATCACTGCATAAACTATGTAAATGTCTAACCACTATGCTGTACACCTGAAGTGAATATAAAATAATATCGAATGTTAACTGTAACTGGAAAAAATTTAAAAATTAAAAATAAATAAAACGATGCAGATTTTTAATCTATAAAAAAGGAAAACAGCTCAGTATTAAGACAAAATCGGACAAAGAAATTTAAGTACAATAAATTTAGGCAGTTATATCCTCCACTTCCACCATTATTAATAGTGATTTCATTTCTTTACAGTTTTATCATTCTTCCAAGGTTATCTGAGGCACATAGGTCAGAACTTTGGCACTTTTGGAAGTTTACCAAGCCACTAATGACTATGGCACAAGGGGTGAAGTTATTATTAAGATAGGTCAATGTATGTATGTGTATAAATATAAGTGTACTTGTGTATGGATACATAACAGATTATGTGGTGTGTGTGTATGTGTGTAATTTTTTAGCATATTTGCTATGAAATACATTTGGAGCGTTTCTAAAATAGCTCTAACAAATTTATTGAGTAGGAATGTAAGAGGACACCTGAATTTAAGGTAAACTAGGAAAGAATAGATACTGGATTGTTTGGCTCTAGTAAAGTAGATAAAGACAAATGAAGATCAATATGGCTAGTATTCTGGATTGATTGAAATATTATACTTCAGTTTGATGTTTGGTTCGCTTTTTGAGTCTTTCATAATTGTTCACATAAGAAGGTAGTGTTAAAATAAGGACATTGTTTTAGGTACATGGCAATTAGTTGTGAACCATAACATTATATTTCAACTAATATTTCCAAATAACAATGATGAGAATAATTTACATTTGCCATATCAGTGTTTTCAAATTACTGGATAGTGCAGAATGGCCATCACTTATTTAATGGATTTCTTAGAAAAATAAAATGTTATTACCTGGGGAGTTTGATCCACTTAGGACAACAAAATGACATGTACCCCAAAATGTTTAAATTTTTTTTTTCTTGGAAATTATGTCACTTCATTGTATGTCATACAAAATTTTAAATGATGACTCTGACCATATTAAACCTATGTTTCAGTTTTTGTCAAATTTTGTTTTTCCAGGTCAAGATTTGAATATTTTATCTGTACTATTAAATTAGAGCTGACCCAGATAATAAATCAGTTATTTAAAATATTGCCCATTCCCTCAAAAAGAATGATGACATTGCATGCCTCCTTCCTCTAGTTCCCTCTTTCTGGCTCTATTCTGATTGTTACCATTTATTCTTTCAGCAGATAGCTGGGTAACTGTTACATGTCAGACACTGTTTTATGCACTAGGAACAAAATAGTGAGCCAAACCACCTTGATCCTTGTAGAGCTTATATTCTGGAGTAGGGAGAAGGCAATAAATAATTGTTTATTGTTTAACATAAGAGTTATATAGTATGTTAGAAAGTAAATTCTGTGGACACAGAGCAGGGTAAGGATGTCTTACCCTTTCACAGAGTAGCACTAATATGTCATTCAATAAGAATGTTGTCATCTTATTTTCTCTTTCAATTTATAGTTCCAATGACAGGATTCACACAGAGAGCAACCATTGACCCAGAACTGAATGAAATCCATGTCTTGTCTGGACTCAGCAAAGACAAGGAGAAGAGGGAAGAGAATGTCAGAAACTCATTCTGGATTTACGACATAGTGAGGAACAGTTGGTAAGAGCGCTTGTCGGTGCTGCAGTCCCAGTGTGACATGTATCGAGGTTGTTGGGTCAAAAGAAGAGGGAAGTGGAAGGCCGGTGTGAATTTGTGACGTCACACATTTAAATGTCCGTAATGAGAGGGAAAGTCAAAACCCGTGCCTGTCTACACAGTGATGTTCAGTGAATGGATTTTACATATGAATTGTTCTGTTAGTAGATGGTTTCTGGTCTGGGGTCAAGAAAATTGTAATTTCATCTGTGTTTTGCTAACTTGAGAACAATGTGTTTTTTTGTTTGTTTTTTAATGTTCCCAATTCTTAGATTTTATAAAAATGAAGCATGGTGGGGGAGGCATTATTTAGCATTTTCAAACCAGGACCTTTTTAGGTCACAGAGCATCTCAGCTGGTGCTACACAGTTTGCTTTGGAAACCACTGGCATAGACTCTAGCTCTGCCTAAGTGAATATTCTACAAAGCAGAAGCACTTCAGAGAACATCTTCCATTCAGTAATAGGGGGTGGTGCTCAGCAACTAAGGAATTTATTATTTTCTAAATATGTTTTCATCTTTATTTACGGTCAAAATGAAAACAACCTACTGTCATTTTTATTGTGAATAGATCGATATTATCTCTTTCAGCCTTTGGGTTGAGGCATCATCAATGCTCTTTGTGTCTCAACACAAGGGACGTTGTTCTTACGTGAGGTTTTGATGGACATTAGAAGAACTGCAGAACTCAGTTCTAACAAATTCAGATTATTTTGTGAGAATGGCCAGAACGATTTGATGTGAACAAATTTGTAATTGTTTGTTGGTAATGAGACATGCAGTTAACTAGCTTTGTACAGTTCTCTAACGTTATGAGTATTGCTGCTTTCTAGGATAGAATGCCTTAAAAGCAATGTCTTGCAGGTCCTGCGTCTACAAAAATGATCAAGCTGCAAAGGATAATCCAAGTAAAAGTCTTCAGGAGGAAGAACCATGCCCAAGATTTGCCCACCAGCTTGTATATGATGAGTTACACAAGGTACCCTTGACTGCATGGACCTGTAAATTTTCCATGACCTACAATCTGAAAGCATCCCAAAATATTTCTGTTTCTGATTATTTTTGAGTGGACGTGATTGAAAAGTTATAGTACATAACAGACATTCAATAGAATATGTTGCAGATACTCAATATGACTTCTCCCTAAATTTTTTTAACACAGTAAACATTTTTGCATAATCCATAATTCCTGGTGGTGTAGTGATTGGACTCAGATTATATAATAAGTTACTGACAGAACCTGTATTCTTTCTGTTTAGGCCATAGATGATTATTTAAATTCTACATCATTTGAGACCTTTAGGTAAAAGATAACATGGGAGTGGATATAAGCTCTTTTTCTTAGCATCTCCCAAATTAAAGGGTAAATGAATTTCCATCCATAGGATAAAAATAATATTGCTATTCTATAACAATATTGAATGTAAATTTTTTTTAAATTTCAATAAATGCTTTAATTTATAAGTACAGACTATCACTAAAACTGTAACTAATATAGTGAAATCATTATTGCATTGCTTTTACATTTCTTTTTGGCGTTACTTGAATAACAGAATAATATTTTAAAAGTTACTTCACAAATTAATTATATGTGCCATTTAATATTTCACACTAAGCCTAAAGCAAAATTAACGATGCTAACATTTAGAAAAATTTTTACTGTTCACCTTAGTGATTCAACATATGTGTCATTTTTTTCAAATACATAATTTATTATGATCAACACTTGATTAACTTGATAATCCCCGTTATTCATTGCTCTAAGTAAACTGTATCTTGGATTAGTGTCTTACTGTTAATAAACAAAATTTAACTGAGTAAATTTGAAGATCTAATTGGCTTGATTAAATGATTTGTGGATTCAGCAACATCTCATTTAGCAAGCACAGATACACTCTGAGGAGTTATACAAGATGGAAATCTTTTATAGAAAGTAGGGTGGGACAAGTAGTCTTCAGTAAGAAAAAAATGAAAGTTGTTTGGAGGAAAAGAAGAGTTCAGGTGACGCCAGCTTCTCATTGGCTGAGCTGCAGCATTTCAGTTGGCTGGGCTTATTGCTGCTCAGGTAGAAAATGTTCCTTCTTCCTGCTGGGGTAGTAAAGTAGTCGCATTTCCTGTTTGAGAATGAAAGGTGCCTCTCTTCCTGTTGGGGTCTGTAATTGACATCTTCCAGTGTGGGGGCAATGGACTTCCTTCCGGTGGTAGGGAGTGAAAGCTACTCCTGCAGGCTATCCCAACTCCAGTTGTAACTGAGGTTTCATTTCTTAATTTTATCACTATCATTGCTTTTGTTTCATGTTTTCCATTGTCAGTGTAATTGTGGTGATAGAACTTATTTGAACATAAAATGTAATTTAAGGAAGTAGCCACAGTAATTAAAGTAAAATGGAGACTTGAGAAAAATCAAGAGAAGCCTTTGATAGAACTGCAATAATGTTTTGGTGTTTTTTTTAGATTTTTTTTATTGGGGTATTGGGGGGATGGGAACAGTGCTGGGAAATTGGGGGAAGGGGAACAGACAAGTTGCCGTCATTTTTGTTCTTCAATCTAGTTGTGGAGAATGTTGCTTCACTGGCCCAAGTTGGCACCGTCATTGCGCTCTTCCCTGGCGAGGCAGATCAGTCGCCGGCTTCTGGACGGCCGCTCACTGCGGCTGCTGGCCGCTCACGCTGGCTGCTGGCTACACATGGTAGCCCATGGCAACCCACTGCCACAGGGGCTGCAGCCTACGCTGTCGCCGGCGACTCATGGCAACCCAGCTCCAGGTTGAGCTGTTGCTCACCATCTTAGCTGTGGAGGGCAGCGTCACTGGCCCTCACATCCGAACCGGGGCCCTCCGGCATCCCAAGCGAGTTCTTAACCATCGCGCCACTCGGCCGGCCCTGCAATAATGTTTTGACTTTTTTTATATGAATAAGACTGAGGAAGTTACCTGTTACACACTAGTAGCAAAATGAAGAAATTTTACTATGACTTATGTAGTTTCTTGAGTATGAATGCATTTTTCAAATATGGTTTGTTTTATTACAGGTGCATTATTTATTTGGTGGGAATCCAGGAAAATCGTGCTCCCCAAAGATGAGATTAGATGACTTCTGGTCGCTGAAGTTGTGTAGGCCTTCAAAAGATTACTTACTGCGGCATTGCAAGTACCTCATCAGAAAACACAGGTATAAAAATAATTCACAGAAACTTTTCTTTAACATTTATCTGCTATTGTACTTGGTTTTTGTCTTTGGAAATTTAGTAACATGACAGTGCAAATAACTGTGAAGATCGTAACCTTTGTAAATGTCCTGTTATTCTCCTTATTTTTCCCTCCTCTTTCAAAGGAAGATACAAAGTGAAGATAGATACTGATGCTAAAATGTTTAAACATAGAACAAGGAAATTTTGCAACTGTTAAAATAATGGGGGAAAAATTTCTATAAAGGTGATAAACCCATCATCCAGTAATTCAGGCCTAACCACTTGAAGTTACATCAGTTCTAGATTATTGACATATGCCTAACCTGTTGATAATTTCTTTAACAGTGAATGTGATGATATAGTCGACTAAATAATATCTTTATAATTTGATCTTTCAGAATACAACTTCAAATATGATTATAGTTTTACATCATTACTTTTGCCATTTAATTGCAAAATCATATAATCAAACATTTTCATGTATGTCTCCCGAGCGATGTTTGCTTTTTGCTTTAGCAGGTGATAGGCTACTAGAAAATGTAGAAAAGTATACCTGTCCTTTTAGTTACTGATAGTATTAGATGATAAAAATTTATGGTTTGGAAGGAGAAGGTTAGGATTTAATGACGATAATAGCTAGCATTTATTGAGCAATTTTTGTGTGCTAGAGCCTCCATATTATTCTCACAGTAAGCTAATGGAGTAAGCACTGTTACCACTGTGTTACAAAAGAAGAAATGGAGGTGTTTTTAAATGGGTTGTATAACTCATGTAAGGTTACTCACCCTTAAGTGACACAGCCAGGACTTGATCCTGGGTATTCTGTCTCCACACACATGTGCACACATATATGTATATACACATGTGTTTATGTGTTCTATATATTTTATATAGACTATAAATACATAAAAATCTCTGTGTAGGTATAAATCCAACTATATTCCTTTATCATATCATTTTACTTTTTGTTCCTTTCTCTGCTTTCACAAGTTGTGCTTCAGAGATAAATTAAAACAAAAACTAGTTACTTCTGTTTCTTTGGCATTACTGCGAATAATTAGTATACTGGGAGTGCCAAAAAAATGTTTACAAGTGGACGCATTGGTCATCGTTGCTCAAGCAGTAGTTCGCCGTCATCAGAAGTGTCTGGACACTGATGGGAACCACTTTGAGCACCTCTTGTCATTGCAGAAGTCAAATGTGGCTTGTATTCATCTTTTGTTATCAGTATATAGTGAATACTACAATTTTAATAGTTTTTTCCTTTCTTGAAATGTGTATACATCTTTTTGGCACCCTCTGTATTCCCACAGAATCTACAGGAGAAAGGGTCTGAATCTTCACATTGGCTGGAATGCAAGAAATAAATTCTGTATTATTAAACAAGGTTTAAGTTGGAGGTACCTTCACCGGATGTTCACATTGCTAAAACTTTATTTCTTAGTACATTACTTAATGTTAAACTTTGTTTTTATAAGGATATGGGCAAATAACAGAGTTCTTTTGCTACCTCAAATAAAACAACTGCTAGATGGAATATTAGGGTGAGCTCTTTTTTAAAATTTCCTGACCAAAAGCCCGATAGAGAGTAAAGGAGATTGTTCAGTGCTGTCTGTGAGGAATTGGAACTCGCTTATAAATACTTTCCTCTGGCTTTTAATTGAAAAAGTATTGAATGGATAATAATAAAAATAAGTCCTCTCTCCGTGCCAAAAGAATCATTTGCCACCCCACCATTCAGAAATAATAATATTTTGGTGTATACCCTTCAAACTGTATGTGCACACACAGATTTTTATTTGTTTAACTGAAAAACAGGGATTATATTACTTCGAATCTGATTTCTTTCAGTGAATATGTGTTGCAAACATTACCATGTAAATAAATACAAGTACAAATCATAATTATAATAGCTAAATAGTGTTCTGTTTTGTGTAATTTACTTAGCCTCCTTTTGTAGAATACTTAGAATTATCCTCTGCTTATTTGCTATTATAACTAACACTGTAGTTAATATTATATACTTCTATATGCACCCCTATCTGAAATTCTGTAAGATAGTGGTAGACTTGATGAATTATCATTTGCTCTCCAAAAAATTAATTTTCATTCCTTCTATTACTACATTGCAGGCAGAATAGATCGAAGTTGCTTCCTATGAATTGGGTAGAACATGAAAATTACCTTTTTAATTCAAATTTCATATTAAATTAGATGCCAGGTCTTTCATTATATAGAATCTTACCCTATACTGCTGGGCTGGCTTATTTATTTGTGTTGCTGGTTTATGGAAAACAATTATTTATTCTATTTCACTAAAATATAAATTTGGAGGGAGAGAAGTATATCATATGCCAAGAAGGTATCTCCTATCTCCTTGTTCTTCATGGTACCACATGATGCAGTAAATAAAGCGCCACTATTATTTTTCTCTGTAACATTCAAGTTTCCAAACTTGTTGACGATTGGGGTATAGAAAGGGGCAAAAGAAAAAAGAAATTAATAGCGTTAATTCCTGTTCCTTTTACAGGGAAGAATTATTGGCTGAAATAAAATTCTAGACTGCAAACACAAGGCCAGTGATAAGTTTTTACAGGCAAGGGGAAAAAAAAACCCTAGAAAAAGAAGAGAGAAAACATAACTTCCAGGAAAACGAATCTCTTTACTGAATTTAATAGGATGGTAGGTGTGTGTTGGTTAGGTTATTTCAGATTGCAGAGGAGAAAGACATACTTTAGGAGACTTGACGGAAACAGAATTTATTAAGAGAATATCCAGTGAATTAAGGTGCTTGCTCAGCATTTGAACAGTGGGGCCTAATGGAGAATTGGTTAGGATACTGGAATAATTCTAGTAGCTAGGAGCTACTGTAGTAGCTTTCCTTGTAACTGCGCCCCTCTCTTTCTGCCTGCTTCTCCAGTTCTACTGATTACTGCTGACTCTGCCTTCCCTCAACATCACGGCATGCATAGATAGATAGATAGATAGATAGATAGATAGATAGATAGATAGATAGATAGATAGATAGATAAACAAGAGATAGGTAGGTAGCTAGGTTTGGCTTTGGTAGATAAGGGTAGGTAGGAAGGAAGGAAGGGAGAAAGGAATCTATCATCGCATGTCTTCTGTTTGCTACCTTCTGAGTTGAGCCTGCCATTTATGTGTCCTGTATATATCACGTTCCGATTGTCTAAGAGAGCATCTTAGAGAGAGTTCCCTGGACAGAATGCCCCTGCCACTTTGTAAACTGCTGTTCAAGCTTGAGACGATTGCTTTTGACTCAGGTGCCAGAACCCTGGTCTAATTTGTTGTGGACAAGATGGTAGAGTAACATGACCTCTGCCTAAGAACTCTCATCTGGCAGGCTGACAATCATGGTATCATCTGGTACAAGACAGCTGTAATATTTTGCTAGTCTTTGCCCCTGCCGGCAATACAGGTACCTTATCACTGAAATTAGCTCTAAAGACAGGAAATTATTGATGCCATCAGCCTAAACACCATTCTTTTCCTTTCCCAAATGAAATTAAATGTCTTCTTCTCTTTCTCCTTGTACATTTGTAAAGCATACAAATGTATTAGAAGTAAATCCATATATAATTATGCCATAGCAAAAGGACATTATCTTATTTAAGTAGAGAAATTGTCCCAACAGACTTTTTTAAAGAGAACTCGTTTCCTTTCCAGCTTTGGAATCAGATAGACCTGTGTTTGAGTCTACTTCTGCCACTTACTGGCCCTTATCTTGGCCATATTCATTCTCTGGGCCGCAGTTTCTCATCTGTTTTTGTTAAATATTGATGATAAAACTTATCGTCATCATAGAGTTGTGAGGCTAAACAAAGCAATCTATGTAAAATGCCCAATACAGTGTGTAGCACATAACAGATGCTCGATGAGTTGCTGCATTTGTTTTTGTTATTGTCGTTATCACTGACAGAGGCATTGAAATAGTCTCATTAAAAATAGCTAATCAGTGTTAATGATACTCATTAAAAGAAACTGTACTCATTTCTGCTTCTAAAGTATCTGTTAAGCACCGCCAGTGGAAAACAAGAATATTACACAAATCTAACCAAGTATTTTTATTTTATCTTTACGTGTTTTATATGAAACATTTGGCTTTTTTGCAGTTTTGTTATGTAAAATATTTAACACATTTACTAGGTTTTGTAATTGATTTTATCTGAGTTTTAAGAGGAGGGTGGGAAGTGCTCTTACGCAGTCTCTCAGAACACAAGCGCCTGTGCCCACCGACAGCACCATCACACCTCAGGGACTCTGCGTGACAGTTTCTTACTTCCGGATTCCCAAACACAGCTTTTTTTAGATAGTCAGACTAACTCCTCGTAACACAGTGTTTTGCTTCAGATCTAAAAGACATTCCTGATGTTGTCTCATAACTCCAGTCATTATTCTTGTTTACCTTTTCTAGGTTTGAAGAGAAGGCCCAAATGGATCCCCTTAGTGCTCTGAAATATTTGCAAAACGATCTTTATATAACTGTGGATCATTCAGACCCAGAAGAGACGAAGGAGGTAAAAGTGGTGATAAACTTCAGAAACTGAACTGTAACAAAAGTCTTTCTAACTTATATTTGCTGATGTTGCTCTCAGATGTTTAAAGGAAAATATGATGACACTAATAATCTTAGAAATGGCACAGAGCAGATGGAAGAAACATTGAACAGGCTTATTTTCATGTGACATAACATTCAAGTCACACAGAAAACCCTTGCTCCATGTAGAAAAGGATTCTCAGGTATCAAGTTTTAATAGACATTCGTTCTGTGTTTTGGGGAAAGCAATGGGAGCTTTTGCTTTCCTAGTCCCATGCTTCTGTTACTCAAGGATTATGTAATGGTGGGATATAAACTTTTTTGTGGATGCCCCAGAACCCTTTAAGAGAAGAAAGAAAACTCCCCTCCCTGTAGGGAGAAGGTGAAGAGGCTGGTGGAAGTAGAACGCTTGCTGCCTCCAGACGTAGTTATGTGAATGTGGTAGCAATGTGGTCTGACCATATGTAGGCTGCTGACTCCATTTATTGGTAGTTCCTAAGCTTGAGAAATGAGTAGCAGATTCTTACTTTTCAGTTATTTTGTTACACAGCATGAGATAGAAGCAGAAGATTTCATAGTCTTGTTATTTGCCTTTCCACAGTGTGTGACTATATCAGCCACAAGTTCCACGGTTTTCCAGCCTGTCTTCCTACTATTGCAGCTTCTGAGATTCCTTTGGTCACTACTTCCTTTTGCCAGCCATTCTTGTTCATGGTTCACCTGGCAGCATCTGAACTGGAATCCATCTTACCTTCCACTCACTGCATTGGTGCTGGTTGTATGTGGCTCTGCCCCTTGCATCTCTTCATCTGTTAGCTGTTGGTTTATTTTAGCTTTGTAAGAGCAACAGCAAGCAGGGCTTTTCTCTGCTCAGCCTTGACACAGGGTTCCGATTTGAGAGCGAATCACCTCCAGGCGCCAGGTTTATGGCACTTGCGAGCAGTAGAGCCTGCATGTCCTTGGCACCAAAGCACAGGGACACTCCTTCATAGTTGCCTACTGTGAAAATAAAGCCTATTTCTCTTACTTAATATTGGTTACAGCCCTTCACAAGGTGGAGAACCATCAGAACACACTTCAGAACCCCCCTGAAGGGCGACAGTTCATTGTCTCTCCTTGAGTCAATTCATGATACTATTTGAAATAGGGGAAATTATCACAGTTTTCCCACGTAGCAGAATATATTTGCTTTAATCTGTTGTGCTTTGTAACTGAACATAATTGTAAAGAGCCCATTAATGTTCATTTTGTTAGACCATGCATCTGAAAGTTATAAATAGATTTCCTTGTGTTTTCTCCATAGTCTATCTAAAATGGCTATAACACGGGAACATTCATTTTTTATTATTTTTCAAAACCAAAACAAAACAGAATATTGCCAAGAAAATAATTTCAGCTGTGTGAGCTGCAAGCAGGCCAAAGAAAACAGACAGTGTGTTCTTAAAGCAAAGCTAATGGGGAAAACCAGCACAGGGAGGTACCTCAAGTTCAAACAGAGCCATTTCTTAAATCTTGCTAGCGGGTTGCTCTTTTTCTCCTTTCCTCAGTAGTCTCAAATTACGATTTTTGCATGCACAGACTTACATTCTGTTTCTTAAAAGTTTTTTTCTATCAAGAGGCGTATGGCCCGAGTAGAGGTTAGTTAAAATACTGTTGTACATGTGTGTCAGCATCAGAAACTTTTCAAAACAATACCCTCACCTTAAGGTTTTCTTCTGTCTGCTCTTACGTAACGGAAAACTGAAACCATCCTGACATTGAGAATTACTGGTCTATAAGATTATCATTTGGTTCAAACATGTGTGAACAGATTTTGTTTGGGGAAAGAAATCTCTTGGTGACAGCTCCAGTATGTACACTTACAGTATTTGTTAGTAAGGCATATAGATCTTCACTTTCCTTTTAAGAAATCATTCCCCTTATCAGGATAGACCTTAGTGCTATTTATTTTCTGTAGTAGCTTTTATTGTTCTCTGTGTATGTTTTACAAAGTTTTCATTATATCAGCAACTAAAAGTGGGTTTTAGATTTTTCTCTTATTTTAGGAGGTGGTTATGATGGTGTTCATCACAATGCCTGTTATTGGGGAAATGATGGTAGATGACCAACCAGATACCAAATAACGGTTCTTTGCTTTTGTCCAGTGTCCAGAGCATGAGTTCTAAATTTATAATGAGCATCTAGTAAACCTTGTGAAAAGGACATTTTTTTTCTAGAAAAGGCCCAAGAAATGTATAAAATCATTTTTACCATTTTCAGAGAGGATTCTATAATAGAGAAGGAACAAGAAAAATAAGTTTTCAACCAGTGTTGCACATTTTGTATTAAGTCCACTTCTGCTGAGCTGCCACAGTGCTGGTGTCATTCATTTAACAGATGTGTATTGAGTCCCTACAATACACCAGGCATTCTTCTAGGCACAGGAGGGATAAAAAGGGTAAAGGGAGACCAAAATCCTAAGGGGTGAGAATTGGGTGCTTGCAGTATGAAATAGGATGATCATAATAGACCGCATTTAGAAATGAGATTTCCACAGACTTGAAGGATATAAAAAAGTGACCTAAGCTGATAATTTGGGGGAGATCATTCCTGGTAAAGGGAAGCCTAGAACCAGGACCCCATGGTGAGTGCATCCTGGCTTTGTTTAGGAGAACAGCAGGGAGGTCGTGGTGGCCCAGTAGAGGGGAGGTGGGTGAGAGGAACCAGAGCTGAGGTAAGAGCAGGGGTGGGAGATCAGACTGCGAATGACTTCGTAGCCATTGCTGGGACTGGGACTTTGACTCTCAATGAGTAAATTCAGGGTATTGTGCAAAGGAGTGATACGATCTGTATGTTTTCATTAGATCACTGACTACTGTATTGAGAATAGATGAAAGGAAAATGAAGATGGAGGCAGAGAGTGTAGAAGCTAAGCAAGGATTTATTGTAGTTCAAACCAAAGCAGGAGCGGTAGAAATACTGAGAAGTGAAATAGGTTGGATTCTCAATATACTTTAAAGGTAGGATCAACAGAATTTTATGGTGGATTGGATGTAAGGTTTGAAAGAAATGACTCCAGAGTTTTTGGCCTGAGTGGATGGCGTTATTATCAACTAAAAGGAGAAGCCCCAGGTAGACCTGGCTTGTTGGTGGTGGGTAGGGGACTCCTGAGTGGGATCAGGAGTTTAATGTTGAATATATTCAGTTTGAGATGCATGTAAAACAGCCAACTTGAGATATTGAGGTGATAGTTGTATACTCAAGTGTAGACTTTGGATGAGATATCCTGATTTGTTCAGATTGTCTAGTATCACTGGGTTCCTGTTAAAATCCTAGACCCGTACATATCAGCTTTACTTATTTAATCAGATTATTTAAACGGCAGCTTTCCCCCCATCCTTCTGTATGTTGAGCCAGTAAATCTTGGAAGTTAGGAAAGAGGAACAAATGAGCCCTCAAATAAGTAGAAGATGGGAAATTAGTCAAATAGGAAACAAACAGTAGAAAAAAATTTTTAAATGAAAAGTTGTTTCTTTGAAAGGTGAATAAAATCAGTAAACCCCTGGAAAGACTTACCAAGAAAAAAAGTAGTGAAACAAATTATCAACATCAAAAATGAAAAGGGGAAATCATTATACACCCAACATACATTAACAGGTAATAAGGAGATATTATGAAGAATGGTCAACAAATTCAGCCATTTGATGAAATGGACAAATTCCTTGAAAGACACAATTTACCAAAGCAGACACAAGAAGAATTAGAAAATCTTAAGGAACTCCATGTCAGTTACCAACAGAAACTGAATTTGTAATTGAAAACTTTCTAACAATGAAAGCTGTGTACCTGGATGGCTGTATCTGTAAATTCTGTCAACCATTTAAAGAAAAAAGCACCAACTCTACATACTCTCAGAAACAGGAAGACTTTCTAAATCCTTTCATGAAGCAGCTTCACTCTGATCTAAAAAAAACCCAACAAAGATATTATAAACGAAGAAAATCCCTCAGGAATATAGGTGCAAAATTCTTAATAAAATTTTACCTAATTGAATCCAGCAGTATACAAAAAGGTTAATAATGCACCATGACCAAGCAGGGGTTTATCCTAGGAATACAAGACTGGTTTCACATTTGAAAATCAATCTTTCACCACATTGACAGAACGAAGGAGAAAAACCATAGGTCACCTCAATAAGTGAAGAAAAGGCATTTGACAAAATTTAAAACCCATTCATGATAAAAATTCTTAGCAAACTAAGAATAAAAAGAAACTGCCTAGTCCTAGAAAGGACATCTATGAAAAACATGTCAGCAGACATCATCTATTCAGCATGTAAGAAAAAGCAAGAAACAGCTTATAGATTGGAAAGGAGCAAGTAAAATTGTTTGCCTTCATAGATGACATTATTGTGTACATAGAAAACTCCACGCAGTCTACAAAACAATATACTAAGATAAGTGGGTTTAACAAGGTTACAGAGTACAAGGTCAATAGAAAAAAAAGTAATTATTTTTATATTAGCAATGAACAATAAGAAAATGAAACTTTAAAAGTTGTTTAAATTACACTCAAGAGTGCGAGCTTTGAGCAACAGCAGTTCGATTCCTGGCCTGAGCTGAGCTGCCAACAGGTGGCAGGATGGCTCAGCTAAAAAAAAAAAAAAAAAAACTTGTTTAAATTAATATCGAAAAACCAAATATGTAGTGATGTCTGTTGTAGGAAATTAAAGAAGACCTAAATAAATGGAGAGATATATATCATATTTATGAATTGAAAGACTAAAAATTGTGAAGATGTCCATTCTCTCCAAATTGGTTTTTAATTTTATATAGTCTATCAATATGCTGGCAAGTTTGGGTTTCTTTGTTGTTGTTGTTGTTGTTATTGTTGTGGAAACAGACAAACTGATTCTAAAATTTATATGGGAATACGAAGGCCCTGGAGTAGTTAAAACAATCTTGAAAAAGACAAACAAAGCTTGAGGTCTCATACTACCTGATTTCAGGACTCTGTATAAAGCCCTAGTAATCAAGGCATCGTGGTCCTGGCTTAAGAGACACATAGAGCAGTAGAACAGAATAGAGGTCAGGAATAGACCCACATACATATGGAATCAATTGATTTTTTTTTTGACCAGGGTCCCAAGTCCACTGGGGAAATGAAAGTCTTTTTAACACATGGTGCTGATACCTCAACCCTTATCTCACATTTTACTAAAAAATTCATTTAAGATGGATTATGGATATAAGTATAAAACCCAAAACAATAAAGCTTCAAGAAGAAAACAGATTATCTCTACAACCTTGGGATAGGCAAAGATTTCTTGGACATGACACAAAGGCACTACTCATAAAAGGTAAAACTTGGTAAATTGGATTTCAACAAAATTAAAACTTCATTAAAAGACATTTAAAAAATAGGCAAGCCACAGACTAAATAATATTTGCAATAGATACCTCTGACAGAGGACTGAATCCCAGCATATATAAAGAACATCCACATATTTTCAACTCTTCCTTTTATATTCTTTTTTCCTAGCTGTTGCTTAGATAGTTACTTCTGGAATATTCATATACTTTCTGACCTTCAAAGGACCATTAATCAGGGCTTACAAATATTAGTGTGGTTGATAGCTGAAAATTTAAAGGCTGGAGCATAGGTATAAAATGTATCCTAAGGAATCAGTGGTATCAACTTCTCAAGCCTTGCAAAGTGCCAAGAATTCCATTCAGATTTTACCCGTTTGTCTACTCTTATTCTTTCCTTTAACTTGCCAGTTTTCCAGCATTCTCATTCAAAATAAATATAATTCTGCTAAATTTTTACTTTTTTTTACCAAGTTAAATTACCAGTGTAGGCAATAGTTTTGTCTTAATTTTGTTTTGTTATTATTCAGTTCCATTGCCTGTTTTAAATGAATTAACTGGCTAGCCTAGGAATCTAATCAACATTTATATTATTTCAGGGTCAAAAAGGCCTTTGAGCCTTCATAATTATATAGCAATATAATTATACATGATTGTGGAGTCCCAGTCTAAGTTGTAATTTAGGAATGGCCTATACATAATAACCATGCTTTATTTCTCAGTTTGATTTACACAGCAGAGACATTGGGTGTTTTATAGTAGCATGTGTTTATTTTTGAAGTGAGAATGCAGATATACTAAGAATTGGTGTCCAGGACACCAATTTATCTATATGTAATAGATTCCCAAATGAGTAATTTTCCTCTTTATTTCAGTTGACCAGTTGTTTGTTAATAAATACATATTTTAATAAATTTTTTAAATGATACCATTCCAGGTCTTGGTCTAATATTTTGAAAAACGATGAGCAGTCCAATAGAAAAGTCAACATATTCTTTAAATGTGTTCTTCTTGCCACTGCATTTGGTAAATAGACTTATGTACAGAGACATACAGTGGCTAATAAGTGGTCAAAATTATAGAAGTTATTTTTTTCTGATGTGCTTCGCCAGCTAATTTGCTCCTATTTTTCTTTCACAGTTTCAGCTTCTCGCTTCAGCGCTGTTCAAATCTGGTTCAGACTTTACCGCTCTAGGTAAGTGTTCCAGTGTACTTGATCCAGCCCTAGCATTTGGGAGGTAGGGTTTTGGTTTCTTTTAAATGAAACAGCCGATGAGATTGTTCATCTAAACAATGAAGTTAAGTTTCAAAGTAGAATGCAAAATTTATAATAAATGTGCTGCAAGTTTACTTTCCAAGCATCGGTCACCAGTTCATTGACCAGTTTGCAGTCCCTGCTACACCAGTTGCTAGGTCATTATGCAAACAGATGGCAATAGAGGCATGATCAAAATGAATTACCTTGTATAGCAGTGTTTTGGAATGCAGGCTGTACTACTGATATGCTTACTATGAGATAACACTTGTTGGCTGAATGATTTTGCCTGTTTGTTCCTTGTGGAATTGTGTGGCGTCGACAGAGTGGTGATGCGGTAGGCAGTGAAATAAGTGTTTTGGAAGGAGAGGAAATGAATTATTTCTTTCCTGAAAATGGGAATTTTTGTACTTTGGTATCTTAATTGTTCAAGACAAATTCTACTTAAAACTTAGGTGCTTTTAAACCCTAGAGATGGGCCTCAGTCTTCATTTAGGAGTACTCTCACTGACTTTAATGGATTATTAAAGTGAACTAGAGTGTAGTAAAAAGGGGAATTTATAGAAGTTCGAGAGTGGAGAGCTTTTAGTCAGTTAAATTTTCAAGGGTCTTTTTGTTAAGATAAGTCATTATAGCTTCACTTTTTCAACAAGATAGTAGCCTTTTGAAGTTTGAGAATTTCTAGGTTTTCTCTTCTCATGATAGAATATAGTCACACGGTGAATGCGTATAAATCCCATGGGTGCCAGTGCTCTTATTATTTGCCTTAGAGTTGAGCGATAGTATTGAAATTTTCTAATACATATAATATAAATACTATTTTTTATCTCTGGAATAAAATAACACTCTGGTATGTCAGTTTAATTCCTTCATTGTTTGTCCTGTCTCTTAAAGGTGAACCATACCTCAAAGAAAGAAAAAAAACCTGATCATACGTAATTCTGGTACTTTTCACTGGGCTGGGAAAGAATAGCACTGTTCTTTGGGGTCTTGCCCTGTCTTTTTCCATAACAAGTCTTTGAGCCTTCTCTACTGATGAAGGCAACTCCGGTCCTGAGGTCTACTTCCAGAGTATGCAGGGTTCCACAGGGCAACACAGAGCAGACTGCTGACAAACAGGACTCCAATCGGTTCGCCTAAAAATTTAGATACTCATTTGGCTGCTCCGTACAGTGGAATACATAGAGGCCTTTAAAACACTGTTTTCAGGCTATTAGAAATCTCAAGTCTGTGATGGAGAATCTAGGTATAAGCATTATTTTAGAAAGTCCCTACCTTTTTGCATTTTATCATTTGAAACAGAAATTTAGTGATTTGTGAATTGAGAGCTTAGCACATAGATCTTCAGTTTGAATGGATGTGTGCCTTGTTGTCCACGGTACCCACAGCCTGGAGGCATCCTTTTTGTCATCTTGGTGGGCAGCGCTTGAATGTCTCTGGCTGACTTATATTTAGCCTTTGGAACGAGACTTTCTTGGCAGTCAATTAAATATGTTGGGCGGTTTTCAGCAAATACTTTACCTTTAACTCCTTTCTTCTGTCTCTGCCCCTGTTCACTGCCAGCCAATATATTTTGTCAGGAACACTTTGTTTTATTTGGATTCCAACAAACCTCAGATACGCTAAGAACAATACAAACACGATAGAAAAAATGTAAAAAAGGGAAAATTCCTGTGGGGTCTTGTTCCCTACTCTGTTAGGATATGAGCGTGTGTAGTAAAGTGGTCAGAATCGAAGTTCAAATATCAGCTCTGCCATTCGCTGGTTTTAAAACTGACCTTGAGCAAGTCACCTTTCTAATCATTAATTTCTTCATCTATAAAATGGAGATAATGCGAGAACTTACATCAAGTTATTGAGAAAATTAAATGAAATAATTATGGAAAAGACTTAGCACAAAAAAATACTTGGTAAGTGCTCCACTCAGGGTACTGTTATTATTGCCGCCCTTACAAATGTAATCTTCTTTGCAACATTGGTGAATTTGGATGAAGAGCAAATTCACATTGGGTGCTAGTTTTAATAAGGAGAACTTTGCTATATTATTTATAAACAAAAAGTACTTTTCATAGGTTTTATGCCTGTTTAGAGTTTCTGGTTCTTGTTTTCACTCATTTTCTGTCAGATTTGTTTTACCTTTACTCCACATAGAATTGAAATCAAATGGGCTGTTTCATGTATCTATACATCTTTAATATATAGATAAACTGAAATTTCATTTTCCAAGTTCTCTTAAGAAAAAATGTGCCTCACCCAGACTTTCTGACTGACCCCCTTCTGAGTTAATCCAGTTTATCGTAACCTCTTAGAATTAAAGTATTGATGTTATATATAATTTAAAGAATTAGATAATGACTTATACACAGCTGGCATTATCTTAGTTTTGAAAAGTTATTGGCTTCAGTGAAAAATAATTTCTGGGAATCTTTAGCTTAGAGCTCTGGTGGCTGTGGGCACTTTTAAGCTTGGACTCAGGCATTTTGCTCATTTT